TTTTAAAATTTCAACCACTACTTCAGTTAGCCTTACTAACTGCCAATCTTTCCCCGCGTTTCCACAGACTTTACTTCTTTACATCTTTCTTCTCTCCCCTCACGGTTGAACTCTCCCCTCCTTGTCTTTTTCCCATTTTAATACGCCACTTATCTCAAGCCATTTCCCGCATTGTTTCTTTCCTTAACCCCCCCCTGGAATCTTATCTCGGCGACGCTCTGGAGCCTCCCCGCAGCCCCGAGAAAAACTTTTGCTCCACCCGCGCTATCGCGATTAAAAAGACTTAACACTTGATTGATTGAGACATTTGTACAAGAAAAGAAAGGGAAAATTCAAATTTGTTTTGTATTTCGGACTCTTTGGTTAATTATCGAACCGGGTTGATCAGTGGAAAACTTGAGAGCTGCTCTCTGATCCACAATAACCGAGCACGCAAGGTCCTCCGCTCCCAGTTACCGGTCCGCCGTCGCCCCGTTTCTCTCGATCGAGCCTCTACGAACCGTTAGATCGAGGATCTATGCGCCCAGATCGCCAAAGAAGGGCTTTTCTACTACTCCCGGATTAGGAACAACTTTCGTCGGTATTGAGCCGGCAATCTGGATACCTACGGGCGCGCTGGCTCGCGGCGCGACGACGCGGTCTTATTTAGAATAACATAGGTGTGGCAAGCGGTAGTCGCTTCAGCTTTCCAGTGTCAGACCCTTCTCGTCATCGGCTACACCGCGGAATAGCACGCGCAATAGACTTTGAGGGTCGCATAAGTCGCCTTCGATATTTCATGTCACCATGACGGTGGATGCACAGGATAGCACCCCAGCACCCCCAGCCGACCGCAGAGGGGCCGAGCTGGAGACCGGAGGCGCCGGGGAACAGCCAGAACAACCCAAGAACAAGAGCAATGGCGATGGTAATGCGCCTGCGGAAACTGGCCAGAAACCGAACCCGAAGGATCCATCCAGACCACGGCGGAAGAAAGCACGGAGAGCTTGCTTTGCCTGTCAACGGGCGCATCTGACTTGCGGTACGCTACACTGACCTCTTTTCAGTTTTGTTCGCATGGTTTTCCTCTTTCCCCCCCTTTCCTCACTTGTGCCGTGGCTCTCATGCGCGGCACAGAGAGGGCCCAGCCGATGTATTCCTGCATGTGATTAGCTTGTGGGCCGAGCCAATACTAATACCGAGTTGCGCATAGGTGACGAAAGGCCGTGTCAACGGTGTATCAAACGCGGTCTCCAAGATGCCTGTCACGATGGGGTTCGCAAAAAAGCCAAATATCTTCATGATGCGCCAGATGGAGCGTTGATGCCTGGAATTGGTGGGAATTTCTATAATAACTCGATGCGCAATAACTTGCCCTTGTCTAGAAATGGCGCCAATGCAGTTAATGCCACTACACAGCCGAGTTCCAGTCCCAATTTCTACCCTACGCCGCAGTCGAACTCCTATAGTGTCTATCAGGAAAATACTATGAACCAAAATTCTTTCACCTCCCAGTCCCCTGTCTCGCCGACATTTACCCTGAAAACTAACCCTGCCGCTCGAAACAACAGCCTTTCATCACAAGTTGGTCAGCAGCCGCCCAGCACCGGCGTGTCCGGCGCGACCAACCCAAGCCAAAACCCATTTGCCGGGCCCTTCTTTGACCCCAGTGACCCGGCCCTCTTTAACTTTGACCTGTCCAGTATGAACTTTGAGAATCGCTATGGTGCGTTGGAGTTTGGCATGCTTGGACATATGGCTACTGGGGCTGGTGACTCACCTAGTGATTCCGCTACCCAGCGAGGCTCAATGGGACGTAGTGGCTCGGCTCAATTTTCCGGTACGCCGATCACTGGCGCTGCAACTTTCGGCGAGAGCCCTGGCGGTCAACAGCCGTTCATTTTTGGCGACCCTCTTCTGAATGAATGGTCTAGTGGGCAACCTACGGGCCAAACTCATGTAAATGTCGGAGGTGTTTACCCACAGTCCGGCCAAGGAAGTGTAATTCCGGGACACTTGACTAAAGCAGATGCGCCACATGCGTTTGCGATCGAAAGCGGCCCTGGCGGCTTTGCTAGCCCCAATGCAACGACCAGTCCTCAAATGACGACAGGCTTTGATGACGCTACGTTCAGCAGTGCTGTGACAGCAAAGTCAAATGGCCTCTCTGCGAACGGACCACGACCTACGATCACGACACCGAGTTTAAAGCACCAAAACTTACAGGTCGGGGTTAGACGACGCCAACGGAACCCCTCATCAATATATGAGAACGTTAAGGAGCCGTATGCCTACACCAATCGTTTCCATAACCTGACCGCATTCATTCAGCGACGCTTCTCGCCACAGAAGACTTTACAGATCGCTAAGGCGCTGGCGTCGATCCGCCCGTCTTTCATTGCGACGACCAAGACTCTGAACCGGGACGACCTAATATTCATGGAGAAATGTTTCCAACGAACCTTGTTCGAATATGAAGACTTCATCAATGCGTGTGGCACCCCAACCATCGTTTGTCGACGCACGGGGGAAATCGCGGCTGTAGGAAAGGAGTTTAGTATCCTTACCGGGTGGAAGAAAGATGTCCTTTTAGGTAAGGAGCCCAACCTGAATGTCAATACAGGTGGCTCTGTTCCGGGCTCGGGTACATCATCACGGAGCTTTACTCCACGAGGCTCCGTGGTGGAGAGCACTCCTGGTCGCCCGCAACCAGTGTTCTTGGCTGAGCTGCTTGATGACGACAGTGTGGTGGAATTCTATGAAGATTTCGCCCGACTCGCCTTTGGGGACTCACGTGGTAGTGTCATGACGACTTGCAAACTGTTGAAATACAAAACGAAGGAGGACATGGAGAATCAGTCGGATGACAACCAACGGTGGAACAGCCATCTCCGCAAAGGAGGGATCGCCAGCGAGGCGGGCATGAATCAACTGGGGTTTAAAGACGGCAAGGTTGAATGCGCATACTGCTGGACAGTAAAACGAGATGTATTCGACATTCCTATGCTTATTGTGATGAATGTGAGTAACCCCTCTTTTTTTTTTTTTTGGCTTTCCCCGGATAGGAGGATACTAACGCATCAATAGTTCTTGCCATGCATTTGATTTTATTTATTGTATTATGGGTAATGCAAGCTATCATTGATGCTATAATTCACATGTACGGTCAACTTTTGGGGGGATTAAAAAAATGCTGTGTTCTTTTTCTTTGTTGTCTTGTTGCTTCCTTTTGATTTTATTGCTATGCCCTTGTATCCTGGCACTGGTACATAAGTGTTTGTATGATTCCCAAGGAGCTGTTTATGGTGCTCCTCTGTTTCTGATTTTTCTATTGTATATATGTGTCTGCACATATTAAGAGTGGTAAATTCTTCTCGAATGAGCGAAGTAGGTGACCCTAGCCTCCGACGATGGGAGAGCATATCTATAGTGAAACGAGGAGATTGATAGTCTCATAGCCACCAAAGAAAAGGTAAATTGCCTTGGATACAAAGGGGTGAATGTAGAGGTGCTGCTGCATTAAGCATAACAATGAAGAAAACGACCAGACCGTTTCAAGGCGTAAATCAGCAGCAGGTATTTATTCCCCTGGAAAGCCCAAACACAAAGTGCTACTTTACGGTCCAGCAAGACCATCCTAACCGCACTTTGACTGCTTTACCAAACAAGGATTCCAGAGGCTTGACTAAATCAGACAGTTCCTCCATTCTATCACTTCACTTGAAATGAATCTGGAAGCATCTTGATCTACAATAATGACACCCCTTTCCTTATCTATTGTCCAGGGACCCAGCGAGCCACCCCTCTGTCATCTAACGTTGGGACATCTTATGGACCAGCAGTCTGAGAGATTTGGGTCTAAAGATGCCATCATTGTCCCGTGGAGTGGTGCTCGGCTTAATTTCCAAGTCCTAAACCATCATACACATGATCTCGCTAAAGGCCTGCTTGCCATGGGTATCGGCAGGGGTGATCGAGTTGCGATCTTCTCGGGGGACGATGAACGGTTTGCCGAGTTGATTATTGCTGTGGCTCGGATTGGCGCTGTTCTGGTGGTGCTAAATAAGACTTTCACATTCCTGGAGTGTGATCGGGCCATCAGGCATACAGGTAATTTCGACTGATCTAAGGTGAGTGTACGGAGACACAGTGGTCCATTGCTAATTGAAGCAGAGACTTCTTTGCTCTTCATAGGTGACATGGTGAATTTCAAATCGACGAGGTTTCTCATCCAGCACACCCAGTCCAACCCAGTTCCTGGCCTGAAGCAGACCGTCTTGATCCGAACAGATTATGTTGACTCTCACGAGGCGCTCACATGGGATGATGTTCTACGTTTAGGGAACTCGGTGCCACAGCAAGCCTTACATCAAGCGCAGCGCTCAGTGCAGTGTCATGATACAGTCTATCTCCAGTTCACCAGCGGAACGACAGGAGTTCCAAAAGCTGCTATGCTTAGCCATTTGTAAGGCTTTCTCGTTGCCATATTGAAGTGGTTTGGTTTCATTAACTAAGCAGTGGCATTATCAACAATGGACGCATGTGCGGTATCCGTATGAATCTAAGGCCCGATGATATTGTCTGTTGCCCGCCACCATTGTTTCACGCCTTCGGTCTCGTCAGTGGCCTGATATGCTCACTTGTGTGTGGTGCTACCATTGTCTTTCCGAGTCGAGATTTTGACGCCTCTGCAGTGGTGGATGCTTTGATACGCCATGGATGTACCGTGCTGCATGGCGTTCCAACTATGTTCGTGGCTATATTGCAGCAGCTCCAGCACAGAAAAGTGGAAGTTAAAACTGTCCGAGCCGGTATGGTAGGAGGGATGAAGGTAGCACCGAGTCTATTGGAGGAAATACAGGCGACTTTCAGTCCCATGGATCTGAGAATCATTTACGGTTTGTTTTGCTGACATGGAGCTGGGTCCTTATCGCTTTATTATTTTTATTTATTTCGTATTGACGTATTGGCCTAGGAATGACCGAAACATCCGCCGGAAGCTTCATGACAGCAGCCACAGACCCAGCTAGAGAAAAACTGGAAACTGTAGGCAAAGCACTCCCCCACGTCCGGGCCAAGGTCGTCGACAGCCAGAACCACATCCTCCCCAGGGGATTCCAGGGCGAGCTTTGCATATCAGGGTATCTGCTACAGAAGGGATACTACAAGAACGGAGACAAGACAGCTGAAGCTCTGGTACGTGATGAGAACGGCGTGATATGGATCCATACGGGCGACGAAGCATCGATAGATGAGGAAGGATACTGTCGCATCACGGGAAGGATCAAAGACATTATTATCCGGGGTGAGCTTGCTTAGTTAAAGTCAGTAATACAGATAGACTGATATTAGTTAGGAGGGGAAAACATCTATCCTACGGAAATCGAAGAAAGGCTTATGGAGCACCCGGACATTGAGCAGGCTGCCATTGTCGGACTTAGGGATGATAAATACGGCGAGATCGTTGCTGCCTTTCTTCAAACAACCCCACAACATAATAGGCCTTCTCTAACTGATGTAAAAAACTGGATATGGCAGGTCCTTGGTCGACACAAGGCCCCGGTCCACGTCTTCTGGGTTGGACTCGGCGATCCGATCGGACAGTATCCTGTGACGGGGAGTGGAAAGATCATGAAGGATGTCTTGAGGGATATCGGAAACAAGATGATCGCGGGGAAAGAGAATAATTGATTAGATACAAAGGTCCTACATATATAAGTAGAGGTAGGAAGAAGAGTGAACTGATATCATCATTTGCTTCATCGGCCTCTCCGCCTCAGGCACCACATAGGTAAGATACCCAGTAGTAGTAATACCGTACCACTCCCACCAATCACTAAGTACCGATACTGTCACGGTCGATACCCCCGCATCGCCGCCTTATCGATACCGCGGGCTTCTTCCACATTCCACCGTTTTGCTCACTTTCAGTTGCTGCTCGTTGCCAGACAAACACTGGATTTCAGTCCATAGACTTGTTATAAGAAACGAAGAATGCGTCCAGACGGCCCCCGGGATTCTGTTACCGGGCCAGACAGTGGCCCAGAGGCTCCGTTTCCAATCAAGTTATCCGGTCCAGTGATCAAAGGTTTTGGGCGGGGAAGCAAAGAGGTATGTTTCATGTAGCTTCATTCTAATGCTGTACCGATCGCCACTTCTCGGTAGCTACATCTTCTCTCTAGTGCCAAGGAAACTAACCTAGCCAGCTGGGAATCCCCACGGCCAATATTCCCCCAGATGGCTTATCAGACTATCCCGATCTACAAGTCGGGGTGTACTACGGAGTAGTCGCATTGGATCCGTCCAGATTCACATCGGAGGCGACGATCCTTCCAGCTGTGCTGAGTATCGGATACAATCCCTTCTACAAGAACACCACTCGATCTGTGGTAGGTTATCCCTTGCCTAGAGACTCATCAACATGACATCAAGTATGGGTCCGTCGACTGACGATCATAGGAAATCCACATCATGCCCCCTCTCTCATCGCCATCACCAACAGCAAATGGTGAGGTGGGTCAAGTGAAATTCAACAAATTGCCTGACTTCTACGGCACAAAGCTTAATCTTTTGATTCTGGGGTACATCCGTCCAGAATACGACTACGTGTCGCTGAAAGCCTTGGTCGAAGATATTCGGATTGACTGTGAGGTTGCGCGTCAGAGTCTCCAGCGAGAGGCATATATCAGCTACCTTACTGGGCAGGATTTTTCGGAAGCGGTGCAGGAGCAGCGAAAATGGCTGACGAGTTTTTAAAGCTTGTTCCTTGTTTTGTTTGAGAAGGGATGGTGGTGTATCAGTACATAGTTTTCTTATTTATTTTGAATAGACTCGCATTGGTGGCGTGGTGGATAGACAAACATTCGACATCAACATACTTGGACATCCGCATACTCATCGCGTAATAATGCATGGACATTTAATGCCAGCCCTATCTTGGCAACGGAACCATCGGTTCCCCTTGCGTTGCATCCTTGGGTTCGGCTGGAGCCACGATGGAGACTGCCAATACTGCCAATACTCGTCGACGTCAGCCCAGCGTTGACAAGAGGACGTTGCCTGACCTGTTAGTTACTCGTGGGTTACTCTTTAAGTAGTTGTCCACCCATATCTTCACTTTGGAAAATAAAAAAAAAAAAAAAAAAACTAAAAATTAAAAATGTTGCAATCGCAATTGCTATTATCCTGAACTTGTAGTATTGCGGTAACTTGCAGGAAGGGTCACTTCTTACTATCCTAACCCTAACTCCAAGTCACCCTGAGAAAGCCTACAGACATAAGTAGAGAAAATGGAACGACTCCGACAACACATCCATCGTCGTCGTCGTCGCAGCAGCACCCCTAGCAGAGCACCTCCCCAAGGATCTCAATCTCCCAGCCTCAGCAGCGATAGACGCAAGAAAAGCGACCATGTTTTGCGCCGACTATACGTCACTTCGGACACGGCAGACTTCGACGCGAACATTCTCCGGCGATTCGAAGCGGAGGGCTTTAGCGTCGAGTATATCCCTTTCCAAGGGTCCAGCGGAGATTTCGAGAGAGACCGGAAAGACCTGGATAATTTGATTCACGAGCGAGAGGACGATCTCGAACCGGGGGAGAGATATGCGATTGTTGGTACGTACAGACGCCTCGAAGATACCCTATGAATTATTTTTTTTTATGTTAAAGATAATAAAATACCTGAATCCACGACCAAATAGCTAACAAAATTACTCCAAGCATATAACAAACCAGCCTATCTCCTCCTTACATCCCACCACCACCCAACAACAGCTACTAACCCTTTCCCTCTCCTCTGTGCCCTAGTAACATACTATCCCCAGATCTCCGGAACAGATACCCATAGTAGCCTCACAGACTGCCCTAACACAACGACCAACCCCTGCATCGTACCCCCCTCCACAACCTCTTCTTCAACCGCCACCTGCTATGACACCCTCTCCATCCTTCCTATCCAAGTCCATCTTGCCGGCCACCAGCCCACCACCCTCTGGGACGACTACAACAGCCACCCCAGCAAGAAGCGCCACAGATGTCACCTCTTCTTCTACCCGGAATCCGAGCCTGGGTTTGCGGAGTCAACGGCCAGAACCCACGACGTGATCAGTTCGCGCCTAGCCTGGAGTCGAGCGCTGGATTGTCTGAAGCGCGGGTTTGGTTGGCCCGGAGGGAGCTGGAAGGTGCCCGCCGTGGAGACGGTGTGGGAGGAGTACTGGCGGAATCTGTTCTACAATGGACAGGAAGCGGGGCGAGACGAGGTGGAGCATCATGCGGCCAATACAGTGAACATGATGGTAGGGAGTGGTGGTGGTATACCCTTGACCGAGCACGGGGATAGTGACGGGGGGAACTCTGACCCTACGGCCGAGTTGAATGAGGTAGCAATAGTCAATTGTGTTCCTACTTTAATTGGTGGTATATGCTCTCTTTTCACTTCTCTTGGGGACAATTTCCTTCCTTCCCTTGTCTTTTGCTGAGGAAGACCGTGGCTGATGGTGTTGATCTTTAGGAGAACACCCGGCTCAAATCACTAACTTTTACACCTCGCAATTCTTTCCTGCCGGGCCACCGTCGCAGAACATTCGTCTTTTGTCTCGCACGATCGGTACAGACCGGATAGTTGATGAGCTTCTGCTCACGTTTACGCATACAGAAGAGATCCCGTGGCTGCTGCCTCGTGTGCCGCCTACGGGTAAACAAGTGCGCGTTGTGATTATCATGACGGCTAGCTTCATTGCGGGGAAACTGGCTCGGCATAATATCTATTGGGATCAGGCGAGCGTCTTGGTGCAGATAGGGCTGTTGGACCCGAGTCTAGTGCCGAGCGGCTTTAAGGCTACTGGGAAGAACAGAGAGGGACGGGATGTTGTGGAGAGTCTTCCTGTTGTTGGAGGGGAGGGGGTCGATAGGGCTTTGTTTTGAACGGAAAAAGGTGAATTGGGCGGGGGCTTCGTAGCTATATATATGCCTATATCCGCGTTATATAGTATCTATACACATTCACACCGATTCTCTATTGACTTAGGAGCGCACCAAGCGGACAATATCACTGCTGACACCTCCTGGACTCTTCAACGTCCTAAGACTAGCCTCTTGTGCAAGAGGAATGACATCTTCTACGGTCTTTGCTCCCTTCACGAGTCCCGAGATTACCGCCCCCAGAAGTGTATCTCCGGCTCCGTTGACACTGACAATCTCCTCATCGGCCAGTACGGCGGCAGGTGGGAACAATCTCAAGTACACACCACCGACTAACTCATTAGCCAATGCAGCACGCGACAGGATATAAGGAGCAGAATCGGGCGAAGTGAGACGCGGGTCACCGGGGCAAAGAAGTTGAGTGACGAGGACACCCTGTGACCCTAATTTGGTAATGAGACAGGGGATGTAAGGAAGGAGTTGGATACTCTGCTGGGGTATGCCTTGATCCACAAGTTGGTTTGATGTCATTGCAACGAGACGATCTCGAGCACCTGCTGACGACATACCCATCGCATCTATGATGTGCCACCAGGCCTCGGAGTCAAATAGCCCGCTGTCACGCGCTGCCATATACATAGTAGTGAGTTCAAACTGGTTGGGGGTCGCCAAGCTGATTGCATTGTTGGGGACAGATGCCGACGGGTTAATTGCCGCAGTTACCTCGGTGGTTTTGCTGAATAGGCGGCAGCTTTTGGCATTGGATACGGGCTCGAACGCAACTCGTGCGCCATGCTTCTTGGCTACAGCGACCCACTTGGAAAGGACTTCAGGGTTCCAGTTCGAATCAACGATAACCCATTGAGGCTTCGTGCGGGAAAGCAGAGTCTCCCAAAAGCCTTCGAAGTCCAATTCCTGCTCTGGTAGTTCCATAATGCCCATGTCCGCCATAGCCACGACGAGGTCTTTCTTCGCATCATTAACAGCTACATACTGTGCGGTCCTGGCGCTGTTTGACGCGGGCAGCACCTGTACGCCAGCAGTGGAGAGCCCCTCTTTTCGAAGAGCCGTTAGGGCTGCACGGCCACTTAGATCGTCCCCGACAACACTACAGAAAAGAACGGAGCTGCCAAGATACTTGGTAGCAATGGCAACATTGTGACCCACACCGCCAAGGCTCTGTGTTATGATGGCTGGATTGGAAGTATCGGAAACAGGTTTGATGTCTTTTTCCCCTGCAGGAGGAGCATAGTCACAGGAAAGATCAACCGCGAGAGAGCCAGCAACGAGAACGTCTACCTTGTCCAATGCCTCAATAGGTCCTTCAGTAGTTGGGTTGAGCTTAAGCTCTGCCTCTGAAGTTGCTTGGTCAGCTTTGACGTCCTCGGAAATTGCTGGCATATGCCTGAAGACACCTCGAAATTAGGGTCATTCCGAGTCGCATCTAACACAGGGCAACTCACCGCTCATTAAGCGTTCCATTGGACTGTTCCAGCTTTGAGATTTCTACAGCGACGCGAGTAGCACGCTGCACATTTGCCTCAACCAGAGCACGGTTGGCAGTAACACTCTTGCCGCCACTGAGTTGCTTGATTTTAGATAGAACAAATGGAGTGTTATCGCTGCCCTGATAGCCTTCGACCTCAGCGAGGCGGATTGCTTCCTCAATAATATCATCCATTTCGTCTTTGGGAATAGACTGCTGCACAGGCACCGGGTTGGCGAAAAGCATTCCCGATGAAACGGGGAGTTTTGATTGCGCATCTATCGATACGTCAGCCACTAGTACTAAGCACGAGAAGCATAGCCGACTCACAAATTATGGCAGCTGCCTCTGCCTCATCTTGAATAATCTTCGGACTCTTGATGCCACTGTCGCGCGTAAAGAACGCGGGGAAATCTACCTGGCCAGTACGACCATCCGCAAACGTCCCGACACAGACACCTTCGGTTTCAAGGTATTCCAGAGTTCGTGGGATGTCTAGGAAGCTTTTGCATCCAGAGCTGACAACAGCAACCGGGGTTCGTCCCAGTTCGGTGAGGTCGGCTACCAAACGGTTAGGCGTTGGCCGCTAGGTCTTGCCAGCAGAACATACCAGATATATCCATAGAATCCTCTCCACCACGGTGGACACCACCTAAAATCGATTAGTTTCTAGTAAATAGACCTAGGGTGGTGCAGAGACGTACCAAGACCTCCAGTCCCGAAAACCCTAATACCAGCCAGATGGGCAAGGATCATCGTGCCCGAAACTGTTGTGCCACCGTGTAGTCGTTTCCCAGCCAGGCCCTAGTATTGTTAGAAATGTTTTTCATGGCGGCGCACAAATGAACCGACCAGGCCGCATATGTAACCCAAATCTCTGCGGGAAACCTTCAGTGCACTCTTGCTCTCTGCGGTAGAGGCCAGCTCGATAAGCTCTTCGGCATTAAGGCCCACCTTAGCCACTCCATTCAAGATTCCAATCGTAGCAGGAACTCCGCCATTTGCTCGTACGACTGTTTCCAGCAACGACGCAAGAGCAACACTCTCAGGATACGGGAATCCTGTATGTAGATTAGCGAGAGATTCTCCCCTTATGAATAAAAAACAATGCGTAGGGATATACCGTGAGTGTAGATCGTGGACTCTAGAGCTACCACAGGCTTTCCTGTGGCTACGGCGTCGCGAACTTCCTCCGACACCTGGAGAAACTTGCTTTGCGCAAGGCCATGAAGGCGTCTTGCGGGAGGAGCCAATACCGGTACCCTGGCTCTCCTGCAGCAATGACGAGCTGCAGCTCGCGAAGCAAGCATAGTGATTAGGTAGACGCTATGCCGTGAGGGTAGCTTGACAGTAAGAGTGGAGAAAGAAAGTAGCTGGAAATTGTGGAGGAGAGGAGTACGTAGGACTTATCGGCGATAAGAGAGGATAGCGTCTTTGGCCGCAGCGGTCACCGGAATCTACGCAGCATCGGGACACCTCAGCAATCTCGCCGCGCTACCTTCCCTTTCCCCCCTGTTCAATTCGTTCCATATATTTACATTCCTTCTTCTTTTTAGGACTATCTCCTGGTGAGAGACATTGTGTCCTAGGCGCGGTCAGTTGCACGCCCGCCCATCGTCACAATGAGGCCGATTACAGCATTCACCGCGCTCTGCGGGTTCCTCCTGTCAAGCAGCAGCATAGTATGCGCCGAATCCTCAGCGGGGACCCATTCCTCCTTCCAACCTCCCCAGGCATTCAAAAATGTAAACTTGGTCCGGAATACCAACTTGGAGAAAGGTTATGCTCGGGAGACTGTCAACGTGGTGGTAGAGAACGTCGATAAAGCACCGCAGAGCACCTACTACTTGGCCTTCCCATCGGAGGTATTCGACAAGGTCGGAGGGTTGGAAGTTAGAGATAGAAAGGCGCCGGAGAAGGGGCCTTTCGATGTGGGCGTATTGTCTGTCGATTCACCCAGGTGAGTACGCTATTGAAGCTACCAGTGGCCAGTTATCATTGTGATGACGAAGCCACGGTTACTTAATCTGGTAACACTATTTGCAGCATATAAGCTAATACTTATGGATTGCTTTTCTCACAGCGACACCAAGTACTTCGTCATTGACCTCCCCGAACCACTTGCACCCAAATCGCAGGTTACTTTGGGAATTTCTTACTACCTCCTCTCCTCCCTAAGCCCGCGCCCTGCCGCTATCAACCAGGCTGATAAACAGTACCTCACTTACTCGTTTTCTGCCTATATCCACTCAGCCTACCCAACTGTGACCCAGAAGACGAAACTGAAGCTTCCTAGCACCAATGTTCCTGACTACACCACTACCTCTGGTCTCAAGTCAGGCTCTGATCCTGAGCGTCAAGGCACTACTTACACTTACGGCCCTTATGACACGGCCGAGGTCACCCCCGGCACTGCCTACCCGATTACCATCCGTTATGAGTTTACCAAGCCAGTAATTACAGCCTCGCTGCTGGAAAGAGACTTGGAGGTATCTCACTGGGGTGGAAACCTGGCGACAGAAGAGCGCTACTGGCTTCGCAATAACGGCTCCAACCTCGTGAATCAATTCTCGCGCGTCGAGTGGACACTCTCTAACTTCCAGCAACTGCCTTCTTCCGCCATCCGTGAACTTAAGTATCCGCTGAAGCCTGGCTCGGTGGACCCCTACTTCATTGATGACATCGGTAATGTCTCCACGAGCCGCTATCGCCCTGGCAAGCCTCCCAAGCGTGATGCATCTTTAGAACTTCGCCCCCGCTTTCCCGTCTTCGGTGGCTGGAACTACAGCTTCCGTATTGGTTGGAACAACGAGCTTTCTACCTTCCTTCGCCGGGTTGCCGGTGCCGATTCATATGTGCTCAAGGTTCCGTTCATCGAGGGACCCAAGGTGCCTGAAGGTGTTCAGTATGAGAAGGTCGTTGTTCGGATCATTCTTCCCGAAGGTGCCCGTAATGTCCGGTACGAGGCGATCGAGACTTCCTCCAACAATGGTCTTCCCCCTGCCGATCAGATCAAGTCTCACGTGTCTCCCCACAAGACCTTCATGGACACATTGGGACGTACCGCATTGACCCTGACGGTAGAGAATTTGTCCGATGAGGCTCGTGATTCTCAGTTGGTGGTAAGTATACAACGTTATATTATGCTCCACTAGACGAAATGCTAATCTCTAACAGGTTACCTATGATTATTCCTTCTGGGATGGGATGCGCAAGCCCGTGACCATCACCACTGGATTGCTGACTGTGTTCGCCGCCGCATGGGCGATTGGGAACATTGACGTGAGCATCAAGAAACGATAGAGAGTGTATGATGTAACATTGTTGTATCCAGTTTTTTATACCTGAGCAATGTAGCTGTTTCCTTCAATGAAAATCAAACTTTGAGATTTGAATGTATCACGCTTCGAAGTCCTGTACGTGAAACAGGAGCTTGATCGATACCAGAAAACGAGTTATACCGCATTTGAATGATCAAGATCTAGCTGGATATTGTGCGATACAATATATCCAGAGAACAGTGGAATAGCAAGAGCGCATAGCATCATAGAAAGCAGTACACTTGTACAATAATCCCCAGGCCCCATTTTAAGCTTGCCGACAGACAGCTCCCCTCCAGTTCATGCATGAAAGAAGCAGAGATCAACGCCAGACTCCTCGCAATCCCGAACCGAAGCCAAGTCAAATACTACCCAACAAGTAGGTTTGTTCAAAGAAAACCAGAAGGAAACTATGAATCCTCGAATTTCCTTTTCACCCCGTTCCCGTTTGCTTGTGGCGGCGCTTGTCTTGCCCTTCGTTTCCGCTCTTCGTCCTCCGAAGCCATCTGAGCCTGGCGCTTCTTCCATGCTGCCTTGATCGCCGGCGCAGCGCGGATAAGATCTTCCTCCGTCACACGGTCCTGGATACTTTCAAGGACTTTCTCAACGGTAGAGATGTGATTCGCATCAGCCTTATCGTCTCGGAGACGGTGATAGCGCCAGCGATTGTGTTCATCCTTGAAGCATTCGACGATGGTATCATCGAGGGGAAGCCCCAGAGCCTTAAGCTCCTCCCATTCGGGTGGGGTGACAAACATCTCCGCGAAGTGCCGGTACTCGTTGGAATTAAGCATCACAAATAGATGAAAAATAGGCATAGCATCGTAATCCGTATATGGCTCGGAAATACCATCAGCCTCATCATCTGTATCAGGCTCCAGGACCGGAAACTCCAAACGCATGCGGAAATCAATGGTATTCTCGGCCGGAGGCTTCCACTTGAGAATGTGCTCGTCCGTTCCGATGCGGTAGGGTGTACTGCGACAGGTAAAGATGAGACCGTCATTACCGTGGATTTTCTTGACCTTGGGAATGATCTCTCGGAACATCATTTCGATACCGTAGCTGAACTGGGTAGATTTGTCTTCAACCGCGAAAACGCGATGTTGTTTCTCCTCGGGAAAGCGTTGGTAGAGAGCATTATATGGCTTGAGGACCTTCTCTTTGAAATACGCAAGTCGTTTGTCCAGCGTGCGATGCATCAGGCTCTGCCCGTCCAGAACCAGACAATCGAAAACGAGGTATTTGAGTTGCTGCGTTCCATCCTCATATGTATCGTTCACCAACTCGCCGTCAACCAGGGTGTCTACGTGGTATGACTGGAAACTTTCATCATTGGGGAGCGGGAAATGCAAGCCCGGCACGTAACGGTAATCATTCTTGCGGTCAATTAGGTAATGAATTTCGGGTGTCTCTGAGTCTGGATCGCCACGGGCAAAGTACATCAGACAACGGATGCCATCTGTTTTCTCGCAGACATAGTAGTCTTGCCGTTGGAGCTCGAGGAGATGCTTGTTGGAGAAACTGACGGGCTGTGCGCCGGGAAAGTTGAGGTTGTTGCGGCCAAGGAGAGTCGCGACTTCACGGCGGAATTGGTCTGCTAGTTCGGGCTCTGCCTTGATCCCGACAGCATCGAGATCAGGAACGGAGTTGGACATTGTGAAAGGGTTCGATTGTATTTAGGGAATGCGTGGCGCAGATGGAGGTGTAGGTAAAAAGTGTATAGTTGTTGGCAGTCCAGCGCAAGCAGATCAAGACCTCCGCCCGTAGGCGCAGAAGCTATAGCTTCCCCAGTAGACCTGAATGTCGCAGCGATGGTGGGGTGCTCTGAAGGGCGAGCTGCATGTGTTCCGCCTTCAAAAGATCGGTGGGCGCAAATGGAGCTAAACCCGTCTTTATCCCGCCGCGGTTGGTGATAGCTTGTTGTGGCCTCAGGCAGGAATCATTATCCCTTTCGGGGTACTAGCTGTAGGACATTCCTCTCATGACAATCTACAAGATGTACAATTGTGTTTGATATCTTTGAGCAAAAATGGGTCCAATACTATTGGCAAATATTCAGACATCGTGAATACTCAAATATTTAAAACAAGGACAGTGTCTATCGAGATATAGAGAAGTATAAAAACATCTGACTAATTTACACTCAGCATCGTCAGTGGTACATGCAATAGACTCCGGGGTATCATATCATCACAAAAAAAAAAAAAAATCCGAATTAGACCCAGTCCGTAGTTTCCTGAACGCCGTTCGAGACTCCACGATGTGGCAGTCATACCCAAGTAGTGGAAAGAAAGGATCATCACTCATCGCTGGTCCTTAGATCAACGCAAAACACCAGCATGCATGTGTATCTACGAGCTCGCCGATATTGAAAGTTTCTTGGCGGCTGGTGCTGAAGTCGTATTGTCCACATCCGTTGTGTTATCTGCGCTTGCAATAACCGGAGATGGCATGACCACGTCGTCCACAGGAGCGAAGAGGTTTCCGTCATTGGAAGTGGTATTGCTATCGCCGGTTGAAAAGAGTCCACCACCGCGCGCACCACCCAGAGCGTGGGATAGCATCTCTTTAATGCGGACATATTGATATTTTTTCTTGGTCGAGATCAGAGTGTGAGTGATGATGGGCTGTGGGTGAGAGCGAGTGATAGCTGCCATCACAGCATCTTTCTCTTCATCCGAGTCGACAGGGCCGTTGTTGTCCATATCGTCCTGCAGAGGAGCATTGGCATCAATTGCAGCCTCTGAAAAGCAAGACCGATTAGCTCTATCCGGAAACGTATCTTCCAGCTATACGGGCAATACTCACTTTGCTGGCGAGCCTGATTCTTCTTCTGATATGCCTGAAGCAACATATCGTACGGCAATGAACGACCAGGCACTGCTCGCTTCGCGCCCATGGAATGACTCTTACAGGTCAAAGATCTCGCACACTGAGCACCATTTGGCAGAGTAACACCGCACTGTTTCTCAACATCAACGGGTCCTTTCGGTTTCGGCACCTTGGGCTTGGGTTCTTCCTTTTTCTTCTTCTTTTTAGGCTCCTTGTCCTTATCGTCTTCTCCCTCCGCCTTGCGCTTCTTTCCCTTCTTCGTCCCATCCTCCGCCATTCCCTTAACGGCGCTCTTCTTAGCGCTCTTCTGACCCTTCATGGAATCATCGCCATCGCCGCCCGCGGCATCCTCGTCACCATCCTTATCACCCGCCTTGGCCCGGTTAGCCGCATCGCGCGCTTCCTTCTTTCGCCTCGCCTTCTCCTGCTTCGCCCGAATACAACCCCGAATATGTTCCACAGCGTTCTGTTTGAGGACCGGCCTCTTGCAAGTCTTACATATGACCGCTTCTAAGTGATCCTCTTCTCGTGGTTTGCCCGTAGGAAAAGCAGCCATAGTCTTCTCGTCGATCTCAGGGAGAATAGGTGATGAACCGGGGGAGTCGGGCGCATCTTCACGCGGTCAAACTATTAGCAAATATACAACCCGCAGCCCCTTCTCTCACACCCCGGCAAATTAAGATGAAAGCCTAGTAGAATGGGGTAAACACACCATCACCCTTCTTCTTGCCTAACTTAGCTGACTTCTTCAACCTAATCTTGCCGGGCTTGGTGTCTTTTTCAGAGAACTTGTACCCGGACGCATCGACTAAGCTGCCAGACGACGGCCCTATAATAGAAAAAAACATAATATTAGCATGAATCATTCTATATATTGTAACCACTTAAGTTCGGCCCGAGGAGGACTTAGTGGTATCTACCTTTGGTCTCACCGTTGGTAGCCATGCTCAACCCACCAACAACCAAGAAAGTGGATCAACTCTTGTAGTAAAGGAAAATATAGTGATAGTAAACGAGTGGAATGGTTTAATAAGGTATTGAAGGGCAGAACGCTGCTTTGTCGTGAAGTTTGAGGTACGCGTGATATAGTCGAGGTGAGTCCGGGGCTGCTCCGCATTTAGATGTCACGTGTTGGTTGCCAGGATAATAGGAGTCCAATTTTCGAGGTTGAAAATTTATGATAGTTCGAGAGGATAATGACCATACAGAGCCTTGGTTTAGTGGCAGCGTACTTTAGTAAGGAATAGCCTTCTACTGCTTCTTCATAGCTATTGATGTTCTTGCCGCAACAATTAGACAATGAAACCCGTCCTTTATATCAAGTCATACTAGACCCACGGTCTGACGTCTGGAAAGTTTGTATCGCAGTCGAGTTTAAGACCAGCGCAAGTTACCTCTAGCACCAGGGAGTAGGTTATTTATAGTTTCCATAAACTGATATTTCTATTACCTTAGTGTACAAGTATGTGTTTGTTCTACATGCAGTATAGCTTGCAATTATCCAAATCGAATGCTCAGTAAGTGCTTTCTATAGCCTGGAAAAGCAGAGAGTACTGTTGGTCCCTCCAAAGCCGAAACTGTTGGTCAGTGCCACATCTATCCGGCGCTCTTGAGTCTGCTTCGGGGCGTAGTTGCAGTCGAATCCGATGGCGAGACGCTCCAAGTTAATCGTAGGAGGCATTTTATTCTGATACAGCAAATTAGAGTATTTCCACGGCACAGATAGTCATACTTACCTCATGAATAGCAAGGATGGTGAACAAGGCCTCTACGGCGCCAGCGCCGCCCAATAAGTGACCCACAGCGCCCTTGGTGCTACTAATATTTACATCCCGGGCATTTCGCTTTCCTTCAGGGCCTAGAAGGAGTGCCTTGATCGCGGCGTTTTCTGCCGCATCTCCGACTACAGTCGAAGTGGCGTGTGCATTAATGTAGTCAACCATAGACGGTGAAATGCCAGCGTTCTTTAGAGCTTTTCTCATTGCCATGAAGGCCCCTTCCCCATTTTCTTTGGGCGCTGTTATATGATGTGCATCACCCGAACAGCCATAGCCTCTCAACTCGGCGTAGATACGTGCACCTCTTGCCTTTGCATGCTCTAGCTCCTAACTGCAAGTTAGTGCTGCGAGTCAATGTAGGATGTGATGACAAGTACCTCTAAAATAACTATTGCCGCGCCCTCGCCGACCACGAACCCTTCGCGATCCGCATCGAAAGGTCTGGACGCCTTCTCAGGAGCGTCATTATAGCTCGTTGCGAGGCTCCGCGCCCGGGCAAAGCCTCCAACAGCTAGCGGATGGATGCAGGATTCGGCACCGCCTGCTAACATCACGTCCGCATCACCACATGCGATAAAGCGAGCAGCATCACCAATGGAATGTGCCCCAGTGGTGCATGCGGTTGTAGCCGCATGGTTTGGACCCTGTCGAACCATTAGCAGTGGTAAAGTCGCTGTTTATGACTAGACATACCATCAATCCATACTTCATGGAGATATGGCCAGCGCCGAGATTGATGAGGAGCTTCGGGACAAATAAAGGAGACACCTTTCTGTAGCCCTAGAAGGAGTTAATATAGATGTATTGGCGATACAAAACTCGTTTACGACATACTCCTTTTTCATATGCCACGACGGTATCATAGATCTCATCGAAGTTGCCAATTCCGGATCCGAGACAGATGCCCTACACGGTCATTAGCATTGTTGAGTTACATGATATCTTGCGAACGTCTACCGTAGATTCTCTGTGTTCAAACGAAGTGGGCTTCCAACCTGCATCTTCAAGAGCTTCTTCTGAGGCAGCCAAAGCATACTGGGCGAAACGCGCCATCTTACGCTCTTCCTGTTAATGGCATCAGACCTGCCCTTCTCTTCAAAACCATGCAAATGTAGATAAGCAAGAGACGCTGCACATACATCCTTACTTAGCCATTCTGAGGCAGTCCAGCCACCATTCTGCCTCTTGCCATTCGGCACTGGGGCGGCGATCTGACATGGTAAGTCCGCGAACCTGGAATCGCGATGGTTGACATTAACAATGCCGCAGTGACCATCTAAGAGACGTTCCCATGTACGACGGATACCTAGAGTGAATGTAATTTAGCGATATGCGCATATTAAGCACAAGGATTTATTAATCGTGTGGACTGCAGGTTGGCTCCTTCTAACTTCCTAACTAGGAATGTCCATGACGATTTGACCCGGTATCCAAGACTTTCCCCTTTCGGAATATCGGAAGTGGAGACATTTCGAGCGAGACTTTCAAGTAGACACTGAAGAATCACGACAGAAGAACAAGCTTGGAAATAACCGCGGACCAAAAAGGGATTGTATAGAACAGTGTACTTGGACATCTGTATAGCAAAAATATAGAACAACTTACCTACTCCCAATGGAGTAACAGCTCCTAAACCCGTCACGACAACACGACGCATGGCATCCTGAGCTTCTAAACACGAGATTCGAATATGATCGGCTTCGATTAGATTCTACAATCTATGGATCAAGCCAACTATCGCAGGTCGGACCAATATAAATGCGGAGGACGAAAAGAGGAAGAGCGAGCGACGGACGTTGGAACTAAAAGAAAAGTGACGAGAAGGGAAAGTCCGCACGATAGTCCGCGCGCCTGAGGCCCCAAGGCCCACTTTTCGGCGCCAAATGAATGGACGGTGGTCGTTCCTATCGATAACGCTTTCAACAATCTCCATACTATCTATGCGCCTATAACTACTAAACAACCTTCCCCAGATTCATTTCCTCTCTTCTGTATTTTTCAAATAACTCCCTCGACCTGTTTTGTTCTGCCCCGTGGCACCTTACAATTCATAATGAAATATACCCTGGGGTTGCTGGCTCTGGCCGGCACTGCCTTATCTCACGCCCATCACGACGACACTGAAGTGGTTCCCGAGCACTTGCGTGAGGAGCTATTGAAGAAATGGGATCAAGAGGTACACATGTGGCGCTATCATACACGGTTGTAGACCTAACTGATAAATCCCAGTGGACATTTTCTGGAATTGCTAGCTTTGCGCATTTAAAACCCGTCAAATGTCTAATCGAACCAGATGAGCGATATGATATCGCCGTCATCGGAGCCCCCTTCGATACTGCTGTCAGTTACAGACCAGGTATGCACTCCGACTTGCTCCCGTAAATCGCAGAGGTTAACTTCCTCCTCCAGGAGCTCGTTTTGGTCCCCGTGCCATTCGTGCTGCCAGTGCCCGCCAGATGGCTGGTACAGCCTACAACACCCGTGCAGGCATCAATCCCTACAGCTCATGGGCTACCGTCAAGGACTGTGGGGATATACCTATCATTCCCTTCGACAATGGCGTAGCGGAGCGCCAAATGTATGAAGCTTTCCTTGAGCTAGGCTCACGACCTCCCAATACCCCTGCCGACTCCAAGTACGGCACTAAGGGCATCTCTGCTGGGAAGGCGAAGCTGGTCACCCTGGGAGGTGATCACAGTGTTGCGCTACCAGCTCTCCGTGCCCTGTATCAAATCTACCAGAAGCCCATCACAGTGCTGCACTTCGATGCGCACCTGGACACCTGGAACCCCGTTCGCTACTCGGCATACTGGACATCAGAGCAGTCGGCATTTAACCACGGCAGTTTCTTCCACAAGGCGAGTCGGGAGGGCCTCATTTGCAACTCGACCTCTGCTCATGCCGGTCTGCGCACCCGTTTGACGGGTGTCACTGATAGCGACTACACCAACCCAGGCCCCGAGCAGGGATTCATGCGCATTCATGCTGACGACATTGACGACCTAGGCCCCATGGGCATCGTGGATAAGATTATTGAGCGCATCGGTCTGGATTCGGAGCAACCCGTGTATCTGTCGGTGGACATCGACGTGCTTGACCCCGCGACTGCCCCCGGGACCGGTACCCCCGAACCTGGCGGCTGGACCACCCGTGAGTTCATCCGGATCATGCGTGGCATTGAGAAGTTGAACATTGTCGGCGCGGACATCGTCGAGGTATCGCCAAGCTATGACAACAAGGGAGAGACCACCGCTCTTGCGGCTGCCCAGGTAGCCTTTGAGATCATCACTAGCATGGTCAAGGCAGGAGCTGGCGAAGAATTGGGAGGATGGTATGGACGCAAGGAAGAGGAGATCGAAACGTCTGCCAAGGAGGGAGAAGCGAAGAAAGAAGGCAAAGACGAGCTGTAAACCAGATACTATGACGCTATAAATGACTTACGTTTGATGTGCAAACAGGTGTAGTCAGGGATGAATAAAATACTAAATGTATGATGAATCATATTGGAGAAACTATCATTGGGCACTACAAGCAGTCATTCACCTAGTCAAATGGGTCAGTAAGATATAGACAAAAATATCACATTCACTGATGATTGCGATTACATATCCACCACCACAACACAACACATTCCTTGATTCCATCTGGACCTCCCCCATATTCCATATGTTCAGCAAGAAACCATTTATCTCTCCACTCATCATCATCAGACAGATGATAACGAGCACATTTTAAACTCAGGATAAATCACTGAGCTTTTGTACCCTGTTCAGGTCCTAGCTGAGAGGTTTCCCGTTACAGACAGATGGAATAAGGTCGGCTTAATTTCACTAGAACTTGTTTGGAGACCTACATGTTCCGCCAGGCACCCGTAATCTGGAGTCATTGGTGGCAGTAAGCGGAGAGTATCATGTCTTTTAAAAATAGATATGAGAATTTGCACGGACATCTTTGAAAAAAATGATTTCGAACGATTTCACGAACCAGTCACAACATGTCAAAACATTGGACCGATTGTAAAGTCCGAGATGGATAGCATCCGCGCTCCCTTTTCCAGACTGACAATAGTGGCTATTGGCGGCTGGAGCATGCGACCAATAATGACAATCTTCATTACATTGGACCTGATTACGCCATGGTCTGTGAGTACCAAAGCCTTGGTGGTCACTGATGTATCTGTGCTATCTAGTTCAAGACTGTAACATGACAACAATAAAATGGCACAGCAACGTGACAGAAGGTGCGGACGTGACAACAAATCGCGAATATAAAGAAACAGATCAATACCATCAGCCAGCCAAAACAAGACGCCTCGACTTCCAACGCCGATAGAGACGATGAGTGGTAATAGAGAATCGAAGATGGACAAAGGAAGAGAAGGAAGGGACAGAAAATGATAAGGCAGTAGGAGGAGAGGGTAATGAGAATTTGGCAAAGGCAAGCCGGCTGAAAGATGAAGGTAAAGCGGTTCGGTTCGTCGATAGTCTCCGCGGCAGAGTTGGGAGGTCAAAATATCCCAGGGTATATCGGATCAATGAATGCCATAAATTGGGCAACGAAAGGATACGAGGATGGCAATCATTAGAAATATCGTCTCGAGATTGGGTAACAGATGGTAATCGGCTCATGAGCTGTGACCCTTGATATCCATAATAGTTTAGTTTTATGCGCTTCAAAACCTCGATCTTCCTGAAATATGCGATGTAGCTAGGATGGATCAGCGACACAATCTGGGTAACAGGTGGAAAAACTGACCCTGCTCTAGAAAGATGTGTGTTCAATTACAGCAAAACGCACTTCTTCGACTTCTTAGGAGCAGGCTCGAGGGCGGCAACAATTGCCTAGTTCATTCCGTCAGTATACAATGCAAGCAGCACAGCCAGCAGCATTCCCCCGACTCACCTCGTCAAAAACATCCTTAAGTTTATATTGGGTCAGAGCGGAGCATTCGACATATTTCACGGCACCCAGTTCCTTGGCCATCCGGTCTCCATCTTCCTTACGAATGGGCTGCATCTTCTGGCGGGAAAGCTTTTCGCGGACAGCGGAATCGTCGCGCAAATCAGTTTGGGTACCCACGATCAGGCAGGGAACACCAGGGCAATGGTGGTGAACTTCGGGGAACCATTTTTCGCGCACGTTCTCGAAGGAAGCAGGGGACGTCACGGAGAAGCAGACCAAGAAAACGTCGGTTTGGGGGTATGAAAGGGGACGAAGACGGTCATAATCCTCCTGACCAGCAGTATCGAAAAGCCCCAGAGTGTACGGCTCATCGCCAATCCTACGAAGGCGTCGGGTTAGTCAATTGATTGCGAGAAATTGACATGTAATGAAACCCGGTCGATGGATCCAACGACGCGTTATCAAGGCCACTGTCTGTCGGGATATATCACAGGCGCGAACTCTCCGGGGAAGTCGTTGCGCCTATCACGGCTCAAAGCAATCGGGTTCACTTACATGACAGTGACAGCATAGTTATCGAAAACGGTAGGAACATATTCCGAGGGGAACTTGTTTGTTGTGTACGAAATCAGGAGACATGTTTTGCCCACAGCACCGTCACCGACGACAACACACCTGACGAAGAGAAATGACCGTAGTTAGCAGACCGCTGATTGATAAAGGAACCAATCTCGGTAAGAAGGGACCCGACGTGCGGCATCAGAAAGGGGGGGGGGGCAAGTCTGAGGGGAGGAGGGAGGCAATGAGAATGTTTATCAAAAGAAGGAGCCAGCAAACGTACTTGATAGTGGCGACAACCATATTGTATACCTGGAACTACCTGAGGCTCTGCAAAGTGACTGTGCAGATAATCTTCCAAGGGTGTCTAGACCCGAGGTGACGAGGAAATGAAAGGAGGAAGATGCGGTGAAGAGAATAGGGAGAGGTATGAGGAGGAGCCGGTTGTTGAACGGTTGTGGGGAGAGAATATAAAAAGGGAGAGATGGGGGATTACAGGAGGCGCTGGATGAGAATGGCAGTAGCCAGGAGTTACGGCGGTTGTGGTGCGGTGAATGTCGACGGTGAAGGGTTGGTGGACGTAGCCAATGTGG